ACTTGCTAGACCTGAGAGTGGCCTTGCACTCTCTTTGACACCGTGTTAGTATGACTCAGCTAGGTAGTTACCTTGTCTTGCTTCTTGGCTGGCTGCATTGTCAAACAAGTACATAAAACCAGTGACTGAGAGATGTACCTTACAGCCTGATGCAGAAGCAGCACTGCTTGAAATCCTGGTGATGTGAGGGAGTACCAGGGGAGACATGTTATAAACCTGTCTTACACAGCTAGATCATCATGTTTACCTTTCCTCATATACAGCTTTTTTTTCCTTTCTCCTCTCAGATCTGCCAAGATTTGGGCAGCCAGAGAACTTACCATGCTACTTAAAGAAATACAGTCCTGTTACATGCTGGGCTAGAAACTGTTACCCAGTCCTCGTGTTTTCACATCAAAGATGTTTGGGAGTCAGTTAGCTCATAAACACATTTAGATCAAGAGAGTAATGTGTAGGTTGCTCAGATTTTATGTGGTACAAAGGTTGCAGCAGAGGCCTGATGGTTTTCCTGTTGCAACAAAGACTGGTTCTGCTACTCTTTGTCTTCTTACTTGGTAAGGACTACTGAAAAGAGAGTGTTTTCCCCCTGTTGTTGGCTAATACAGTGAAAGATGAGGCAAGAGAGGTATACATTTATCATCTTGCCCTTTGATGGCATCCATGGAAATTCTGTCAAAATAAGTCCTTTTAACACTGACCACTCTACTGGGCAGTCATTTGCATCATCATCTTGCTTGGTACTTGCATATCTGAAGGTGTTCCATAACTATGTTTTTTACTGCTGCTACCTTCCAGCTTTTGCAAGTTAACTTTGTCATGAGACAGTGGTGCTGAGTTGTGTGTCCCTCAGCTTAGTAGCATTCTCTACTCAGCACTGACCCTTTAGCACCAGGAACTGTGACAGCTCTTGTCTCTCAACATCTTGTCAAGGACATTAATCTTTTTGCAAGGCAAATGAAACCAGTTTTTGCAATAGCAGCAGTCACCCTCCACACCTTCTGGGACAGTTCTGGAAGACAAGTTTGAAACCATTGGCCACTTAAACGTGTAGTTACAGTTTTTGTAACAGTGTTAGGTAAAAGTGTGTGTGGACGCATGCTGAATTTTTGGAAACAATCTCATCCTCAGTTTTCCTTTCAGATGCTTCCCTCATTCACAGATGTTTATTTGAGAGAGCATTTTCACAAGGGCTTCTAAGATTACTGGTCTGGTAGACCCTTAATGAGGAGTGTCCCTTTCAGTATTTCCTGTCAGTGAGGAAAAGCTTTTTCTGTGGTCTGGTGAAGTCTTCTGTCTGTTACCACCATTTCTGGTGTCATTGCCTGGTAATCAAGCTATTTTGGTGCTTACTAACAGTAAGGGATGAGATTTTCCAAGTATTCTACTAGCTGAGAACCAGAACTGCCTATGTCTGGGTCTAACTCAGGCTTTCTTGGTAATGACTGCTATACTGGAGGAGGCTGTGTCCTCCTTGAGACTTGCAGTGGATGTATTTGAATGATGTGCAGAAGCAATCACCTCCAGAAGTCATGTCTAACCTAAATTAGTATGCTCTTTTGTTCTGCATATTCACAGTCAGTGTAATGAATTTCTGTAGTAAGAAAAGCTTGTTCCTGTGGTGCTCACTGTAGGGCAATAGCAGCTGTTGTTGAGGTGATCTGTGATATATGTAGGATTTCAGTCGCTGTGTTTTTCTGCTATAATGTGCCTCTTTACTTTGGGGGCAGAATGCTGGAGAAAACAGCCACATAAAGTGAGATTCCTCATCTGATTGTAAATGTCTAGACATCTTGGTGAGGGGGGAAATGGCTTCTGTGGGATGCAACTTAATCTCTGTTGAAGGCTGGAGAGTTGTGCCACTGAAATGACCATTTCCCCCAACTGACTGTGAAGAGATGTGGTGAATATGCAAGGTCAGCATGTGTGTCAGAACAACCTCTAAATTTGGGCAGATAAATCCCATTTTTAATGGTTCACTGTGTGTGTTAGGACCACTACATGGTTAAAAAGAACAAAAGTGCCTCGTTTAAAGAATGTTTGTACATGGTGTTGAGCAGCAACAATCTATGGGATCTGGCTCTGAACAATGGTTTTGTGAAGGTCAGGCCAGTCTAACACTCCAGATCAGAGGAAGAGCAGTGCTGGTGGGGTTGAGAATTAACAACACTGTTGGAGGTCCAAAGATGGGACATGCTGGAGGTCTTCAAAGGCTACTAACTATATATCATCAGAAAGGAAGGTCCTTGTGGGTATTTACTGCATGAACATCTCTGAAGCATCTAAATGTGCTGGACAGGAGCCCAACTCCACACCGCAGTGCTTTGGCTGGCCACCAAGCAGTACTTTGGGCAACTGAACTTGGCAAACCACAGAAACTAAAGGAAAGTGTATGTTTGTGCTTGCAAGCAGTTTTAGTAAATATGAATTAAGTTGGGTTTTGCTTTGTAATTACCTTACTTAAATAAGAGACAAGTATTAAGAACTGATGGCACTGTTACTTTATTTAAAAGGTAACTGTGTAACATTTTCTGCAACAAAACTGAAGAAAACAATAGGAATGTCACTTGAGCTGTGGTCTAGGAGGACAGCCCAGGGGGACGAGTTTAAGTATTTCTTTATTAAATTTTGGTGATTTATTACATCAAATGTTTAATGTCCTAATGCCCAAGCTGAACTCATTGTCTTTTATGGAGGATTTAAGTATGAGCTGTCTGAGTAACTGTGTCTGTTCATCAGCGCTCATTTTTTCCAAAATGTGTCTCATAAAGCTAGACAAGATGGCACCTAACTGAAGATTCTTGTGATTCTTGGAAACAAATAGCTTGCAAATAAATCAAACAGGATAAGGGCAAGAACTGGTCCTTTGAAGAATCTTTTTAATTTTTTTTTCTTCTGGATTGTCTACAAACTCAGCATCTTTACTAGTATATCTTTGGAATTGTCTCTCTTGAAGTATCATTTCTGAATCTAAAGTAATGCCTCAATCTTACTGTCTTGCCCATCTGATCATGGTGCTAGGTGGAGTTCTTTGCTGCTACTGCATCTGGGAAAGAAGTAGCAGCAAGAATCTGCAGACTGCCTGAAGTGCTGTCGTTGGCTTTCCACATCTTTTCTGCCACGGGCATACTTCTTTTCCAGGTTATCAATTACAGAGTTTGTAAACTGGCTTGAGGAGTTTTGTTGCATGATTACTATCTGGAAGAAAGCTATTTCCCCCTGGCTTTAATGGATTAGCTGTTGCCTTATTGCTCTGATACAGCTTGAACATCTTACTCTTGTGAAAGACTTGGGACATAAGCTGACAGTGACTGTTCCCTTGTGTGATAGCTACTATTGTGGAGAGAGAGCAAAGCTGAAGGCTTGCAGTTTTGGGCAGTGTGAGTGTACTTTCCCCTTTTTTGATGAAGAATGGTTAGAACTTATTTTGACCTGAGGTGGAGTCAGTCTGTGTGAACTCACTTCTGTCTCATATCTGCTCCCCAAATAGCTCACTGCTGCTAGCTTTTTGCTGCATTAACTGTAAGTGTGATGCTGTTATGTGGGAATACTTCATGTATCTACCTGGAGGGTTTCTTTGTGGTTTCAGTCTCCCTCATGAGTTAGTATGCTCCTGTGGTGGATTTGGTCATGTTTGGTTAGCCTGACTGCTCCTTGTGTCAAGAGAGGTGGCTGAACTCCTCTGGGACATTTCTGTTTAACCATTGTCTAGATAAATACTGTGTGGTATGTATCTTAGTCTTACTTGTGGTCCTGGTTTTTTGTGGTTGTTCTTTTTCCCCACATGGCTTCTTCAGTTGTAATGCATTTTAGGAGTGGCAGTTGTTAAGCAGGTCGTTACTCCTGTTCATTGATGATATGGCAGAGACACCTCTAAAGTCAGGAGGCAGCTTTGAGAACTCATATCTGCTGATGTTTGGAGGGTAGATTTGCTTCTTGTGGTCAGAGAGAATGCAGTTGGACTGCCTAGAGGTAGCAAGAAATATGGATTGCTACCTATGGGGGGTTTTGCCCCTACTTTTTTGGATGCTGATTCCATTGACTGTGAAGCCCTTTTATTCCTGAACCTGTTGTGGAGAAGAGCCCCTTGGCACATAATGTAAGATAGACACTTAAATACCACTGTGTAAGCATGGTCTGTTCAGATTGCAGTTGTCAAGCAATTGCAATTGCTACTTCTGTGTTATTTGGACTGAGTACCAATTTCATTGATATAGAAGTATAGATTGCTTATATCCTAGTTTGTGTCCTACCAGGTCACGACCTGGGCCAGAACCATCACTTCTGTATTGTGTTTTCCATATCAAGACCATAGGGATGAGGACAGGACAGGAAGGAGATCATGCTTGAGCATATGACCGAGAGATCAGGATTTTGAGGTGCGTTAAAGCTGAACTGCTTCATCCTTCAGAGAACCAGTGTTCAGAGGGAAGTGTTTCTTTTCTTTTGAGAATGACACTAGAACCTCCTAACTTCTGATTCAGAAATTGGGGAGGGTTAACTCATTAAGAAATGAAATTACTTGGTTGCATCTCTTTAGCAGCATAACAGGGTAGCTAATATTTTACCTTCCAGTTTCAAATAAACAATCCCTTTTAATTTATATAACTCTAGAGTCTGAAAGTTGTAGAGGTTATGAGACTTTTATTGCTTCAGTCTTGTGGGTTTTTTTAACATCTTGCTGTAGTGAACATGAACTAGATATAGCACAATCTTCAGGTATTAAACTAAAGCCTCCATCTAGTTTATGGGTATATCTGAGGCTTTCACAGAATATTCACATAAAACCAGATCTAAGTTTTTTTTCTAGGTTTTTAACCATTTTAAAAGTAAAAGGCTTAAGATTTTTGTTTGGCGTGTGTGGTTTTTGTTCTGTTTTGAATACCAGCTGCCTGTTTATACTGCTTTTCTTTTTTTTCCTAGTGAAAGGGGAAAACCTTCTGTTGGTGTCTGGTATGCTAAATCAAGGCAAAGATTTGTTTAGTTCTTCATTCTTTTTGCAGGTAAAGAAAGCCTTTTTTGCCTTGGTGGCAAATGGTGTGAGAGCAGCTCCACTGTGGGAGAGTAAAAAACAGAGTTTTGTAGGTAAGTAGTTCTAACATTATTGAGGATTATCTGAATTTCCAAGGTGCTTATTGTTGAAAAAGGTGGCCTGGGACTGGCCATCATCTAACATCCTAGAGAGATACTGGCAAAAATGATTTCTTTTTCCTCCTGGTGAAGAGTGAAATGTTGCCAGCTTTCATAGTGTGGCTGTGCTTTGAGAGTCATGCTAAATCTTAAGTCCCGACCTTCTGAAATTTGGTCTCTAATATGTGCACTTCCTGTGTATTTGCCATTAAAGGTAACAGTCACAAAATGGAAATTTGAAAACAGGAACTATAAAGAGAATAATGTAATGTTAAAGTATCCTAATAGGCATGCAATACAAGCCTGTCCCTGCATGTGCTCAGCAAGGTGCACTGAGAAATCTTTAAATACCAGAACTAATGTCGAATGCCACAGGTATGTCCCAAATTGGGAGAAAAACATTAGATCTGTGTATTGCTTTTTTAAAAACTTGGGTCATTAATTGCCCCAACAATAATCTCCCCAATCTAGATCTCTGTTGCATTTAGAAAATAAGGTCTTGTGACCTGGAATGTGGGTTGAGGATTCTTGAAAATGAATGGTAGATACTTAATGAAGCATTTCTTAAAATATTTTCAGTCCAAGGAGGGAGGAGTAGTAGTTTCATGCAATACACCATAGGAGTGCTTTGTGTCTTTCATGTTCTGTCTGTAACTAAGCTCTAATCATGTAAAGCTCACCTCCAGATTAACTGTTCCCTTCCCCATTTCTTAGTTTCTTCAGTTTAGATGTAAGAGTAGTAAACAGTGGAGCAAATGCATCTTGTCAAATTTAGAACTTGAAAGTGCAAAAAAGATTAATATTTTCAGGTAACTAAACTAATCAGTTATATTACATATATATATTACATAGTTTGGTGTTGGTGCTTAAAATATAGATGGCATGGATGTACTATATTTTTTTTAAAAAATCACATTTCAATACAAATGTTGAGGATTAGCATGGAAATGACTGAATAATAATGAATTGATTCTTTAGTAAGTAATATTACAAAATATATATTATACTGTTCCTTCATTCAAGTCTGAGACTCTGCCTGAATTGGCAAGGACATAGTGAGCATGTCTTGCTCAAAAAGCAAATGAAAGTCAAGGATAGTTTTCCAACCTTTAAGGATATTCTAAACCTCCTCTTTTCTTTCCATGCTTTTGGGGGTTGGTGTGGTCTGAATTCCAAGGGGTTTTTGAGTCAGATTGAAAGTAAGGAGAAGCACATAGGCTTTAATTTTGAATATTAATTCAGATGTGTGTTTTTATTCTGAAGGCTGTGTCAATGTGAAAGTGAACAGACAGTTTGGGAATTCTGTTGTTAATTAGTCCAATACAAATAGTATGTTAAATGGATTTAACATTTATTAAATTATATATTGTGAATATAGAGGAAATAGCTGAATGTTCTTTATGTTAAGTGTGTATCTAAGACTTTTTTTATATATCACTTGTTACAGGAATGTTAACAATTACAGATTTCATTAACATACTGCATAGATACTATAAGTCTCCAATGGTAAGTATGATGTTAAACTATAATTTGCCCCTTTGCCATACAGTACAGAGACTGAAATATCAAACTGAAAGATTCATGATGACTGTTATTATTTAAGTCTTTGGAAGTTTAGCCATGTCATGAGTAGGCATGACATAGATCATGTCACTGTTGGGGTTTCTTTTTCAAAGAAAAGATATCTGTGTGGACAAGGTTATAGAACAGTGTCTGGATGCCTGAGTTCAGTTCCCAGCTTCAACCATGAGCATCCTATGAGCTTGGGCAAATAAGGCAGTGTGTCTGCTTCAGTTATAAGCATGTATAAACATGAGGAGTCTCCATAATGAGTCTCATCACTTCTGATGTGTGGTGCTTCCCATAATGACAGACTTTGCTGTGGATGTGAGGTTCCACTTAGTGTGGCACCTAATGAATAATGCATTGGGATGAACCACCTGGTTTAGCATACTTAGTAGAAACTGGATGTGGTATAAGAAGTGTGAGGGACAATACCTGATTAGTGCTCACTGTAGTTATTAGTGTTCATTACAAATCAGATTGTTTCACTACTATACAGAGCTCTATATAAGTGGCAAATCTCAACCAAAAAACATTTGGGGAGGATATTACATGTAAAAGTTAACTGTATTTAAAAATGAAGTATATAGCTGCGTGTGGTTCACACGTTGATATAATCATCTTTGTCTCACAACTATGCTGGAGCTATTCTGAAGGAGTATGTGGAGTTAAGCTGGATGCCAGCTTACAGGAGCTTGGATGCTTTAAAAAATTACTGTTCTTGGAGTGATGGTGCAGAATAAACAAGTTAAACTGGTTGAATGTATGCAAATATTTTAGTTACATGGCTGAATTGCACAATCAGTTGGAGATCTGTTGACTTCAATTAACTGTAATTTAAAATTCCCATTGGCAGTCAGTTGATGAAATTCTCTAGCTTGCATGTTTGTACAAACATTTACATCCCTTTCTTGTTCCTGTCAAATCACAATTCCCCCTCTACCAATTAAAATACATGTACTATGTTTTACTAGCTAAAAAAATCAAAAACAGTTGGATGAAGCAGACATCTGATGTATTTGCCTTCTGAAAGCTCATGTTAATTTTTAAATTTTATACTGTAATTCTTGTCAGATGCCAATAGTGTGGTGCACTGTCCTTTCTCCTTGTTAAAAAATTCTTTTTTTTTTCTCTTTGGGGATTTACAGGAGGTGAGGGGAGAAGCAAATGAGAAATGATTACACACTGATAGCTTCTTTAAAATGGTTTCCACATTGTGATGACCCTCAGCCTCAACACTACTGATTTTTCCAAGTAACTTTACCTAAGGTCTGAGTGTTGTCACTCATTTACATTGTCTGACATCCTATTCCATAGGTTCTGCTTAAAACGGCAGCAGGAAGGAGGAATAGCTGAGGAGTGACAATACTTAACTGATTGGTGCAGTCTTCTCTAAGAAAAATAAATAAATTAATGTCCCATCAGGGGAAGCTGTAGTCTTAATAAGTGAAACTATGCTGAAAATACAATTCTGAAAATATTGTAGTCATTCTTTCTGGATGCATCACAACACACAGTGTGAAGTATGTTGCTATTCATGTACGAGATACTGTCCTCAATTGATTGATGAAGAGCATCCATGTAGTTTCTCCTTATAGTGTGGCCCAAAAACTAGGTTTAGCCTCATGTCATCAGCATCTGAAGTAGTTTCCTGTTCTAATCACTTCAGTAGATCTGAACTGCCTCTTCTGTCAAGTACCCTAAAAGATTAACTTCAATAGGTGTCTTTTATGTGAATGAAAAATGTTATATTTGAGCAGTCCAATTATAGTCTATCAATTTAGCATTCCCTTATATTCTCCTAAGGATGCTGATTCAAGGGAGTAATCTAGGTGTAGTCTCCTTTAGCTCAAAGATTAATGTGTGGTAGGCCTTGTGGAGACCTTGACCTATGAACTCTTCAGGCTCAGCAGTGCTTGCAGAGGTACCTGACAGAGAAGAGCTGTGTAAGGGGTTACAGGCACCTTCAGCCTAGGCTACAGTGAGTGGAATTACAGTTCCAAGTGTCTGGCTTGCAGCTGGGTACCCTTAGAGAAAGGTAGCTTTCACATTTGAAAGATTTCTAGAAAACCATCAGCAAGATGAAGAAGTTGCTGTAGGGAGATTATAAAGCCATTTAGCAAAGTATGTGATGAAACAGCTGCTGAGCACCAGCAGGAAGTTGGTGATGTGATCATGTCTTTTTTTGGTCTTGTTTTCAGCTTCAAAAACTGGACTTTTGAGAGTGGTTAGATGTTATTACTGATCTGATCTGACGATAAGTTGCTATCAACAGGTGCAGACTTGCCACATCCTCCTTCCCCTGTCATTACTTGTGGTTTTTATGAGCCAGTTAAGGAAGCTAAACCAGCAGAAACATAATTTTTTTGTAACTTTTTGTGCCTGTTTGATTCCTGGGACCAGCTGAACACAAGTCAGATAAGCAACACTGCTGGTGCAAAGAAATGCTGAGAGAATCATGGCTAGATGCAGGGTCTGAAAACATTTGAAGGTTGTAACATCAGCAATAGATTAAATTTGAGGCAGAGGGAGAATACATTGTTGGTTCTTCTGATTGAACTGAGCACTAAACCAAGTGCTCTTGCTTTTTAGTAATCAAGTAAAATTAATCTATGTTAGCATTAAGAAGTCAAGTGACCAGGGTAAGCTTTTTTACTGGTGTGGGAGTGTGAAGAATTATCAGAGGGTATACTCTGGCATGTTGCTTTAAGGTGAAATAAATTGCTGAAGAGATGCCTTTGAGTGTAGAAAGATCTAGACTATAAACCTAAGGCAGTAAAAGGTCCTTCTTGTCCTTATAGGTCCAGTATGATACCCTGCATTGAGCAGGGTTGCACCCTTTCTTATTATTGCCAAGAAATGTTGTTTTGTACTGCTCTTGCTCTGCTGGATTGTCTACAATGAAATATAAGGAAATTATTCAGATATTTATAATGGTAATGATGGGTTTAAAATTAATACTTCAAGCTAAATTTCCATCTACCCATTGTAGGTTCAGATTTATGAACTGGAGGAGCACAAGATAGAAACCTGGAGGGGTAAGAATATTTACTGCTTGGTTGATGATTTAATAGGTTCTCATGTTTTCTAGTATAGTGTATTTTTAATTAATCATAGACTTAGCCTGTCACTCCACATACTTTGTAATGGAAGCAGAAATAGTAAAAGCTTCTCTCTTGGCTCCTGCTGCTTATTCTTCTATCTGAAACAGCATGTGGACTAGTGATCTGGGCTATATATACACCACTTGGTCACTAGTGCATTATTAGTACCGTGTCACTCTTTAAGAAAGAAAAAAAAGCTGGAATAAGGGAGCATGTGTGTTCTCGCAGTGACCCCTGGTGGTATTCAGCTTAGTCCTGCTCTGAAAATATATGTCTTTTTAATGTCAGTCTAGAGAACAGTGCATAAGTGTTAGGATTACTAAAGTAATTGTGTGCTCCTGTCTGTCTTCCACTTAATTTTGTATGAATGAATTCATAAATTGCTTTCATAAAAAAAGCTAATGTTTTCGTGTAAAGTGGTAATGGTCTGTTAATTTTTCTGTCCACAGAGCTTTATTTACAAGAGACATTTAAACCTTTAGTGAACATCTCCCCGGATGCAAGGTAGGATTTTGCTGTTCCATCTGCTTAACCTGAAATACACTAACTCCATCTCAGCACTGAATTTAAGACTTCTTTTTATAATAAGAAACAATTTCTATGGTGAACTAGTGTAAAATAACGAAGAAGTGTCTTTTAAGATAATTAAGAAAATATGAGAGCTTCTTTTTTTATTGTGAGTGAGGACTTTTTTGATGATCCAAACAAGCTGCACTTTTGCCTTTTATAAGTGTAACTGTTCTGGTAAATGAACTAGATGTGGGTCAAAATTAATTGCCCCAAAACATGCAAAGAAAGGCAATATGATGACACTTGAAGCTAGTCTGCAGGTCATGTTTGTTTCATGAAAATCAAAAATTTTAGAGAGCCTTTTAGCTGTCTTGTTCTCAGCACTCACAATAATTGAAATGTAAAGTGCTTTTCAAGGCAAGTAACTTTTCTTGACTAAAGGAAAGACAATATCTGTGTGGTTTGTTTTGCTCCACTACAAGGTTGTGTTTCTTAAAATGTAAATGATCTTTTCTTCTTGATGGAAGTTGAAAGAAATAGTTTTTAAAATGTCATTATGCCTTATTTACTAAAGGTAAATTGAAAGAGAACTTTAGTTGACTATTTAAGTCATGAGTTAATCACTGAACTGGAGTTCTGGCAAGTTCTGGTTCTTGCTTCATGTTTGTGGACTAGGATTGTTTATGCCCTGTCAAAGGAAGCTGGTGAAGGGAACTCTGGTGATTACCTCGAAATAAGGATGTGCTGTATCCTGAGTCGAGTTGCCATTAAGTCATGAATAAGTCATTCAATTAAGCCATAAGGAATGTATTTTGAATAGTAGCTGGTTGCAAAGAATATCATTAAGACAACAAAATAATCTAATTGCTTTCAGTCAAAGGTGCAGCAAGAGAAATCTTGCAATAAAGAAGATGCAGTAAGCCATGAAAAAAGGGATACAGCAAGTCACTTTAAGATCTGATCCAGAAATAGACTTGGGTTCTGTGGGAATCAGTGCAGCACTTAGGAGTAGTTAAATGCTTAGTCCAGGAGTGGAATCTACAGTGCAATGATTGGGATCTTGACTCTGTGTGCGTTAAATGGGGCTAGTTCATCCCAGTAATGGACTCAGAACATACAGTGTATTGAGTATGGGAAGAAGCCTACTTTATTACTTGCTAATTTATTGCAATTGCTAATCAGCTGCTTTATCATAGTCTTACTAGGACCAAGGGGAGAAAACAAGTGTCACTTGCTAGAAGAGCAGACTTGCACAGCTTGGAGTGTTGCTAAATCGTAGTCTGCAGTGTGTGGAGGAATGTCTCAGATCTCCTGAGAATAGCTTTTTGCTAATTCCCAATGATAATTCAGTAAAATTATTGGATAATTCTTTTTGGCTTAATTGCATGAATGCACTTACCCATGAAAATGCTCTTCATAGAAAATGTTCTAGGAGTTTGGGATTGAGATGAATTAAGTGCAAGAACTCTGTTTTTCACCATTCACCAGTTCCTTCTGACTGCAGGAATACTGTGAGCACAGCACTCAGTAAAAAAGCACTTTACACTTGTGAAGAAATATTTTGGCTATTCTTTATACCACGAAACAGTCACTTTCCATCACATTTTCTTACTGGTTTTAGATGTCCATGAGCATATCATTGTTGATGTCTTTTACCAGCTGCAAAAGTTAATTTGAAATCCCTTAGCTTCTGTTACCTATGACATTAAAGATAATGCAAATAATTACTCATCACATGAGTTTGTAAATGTGTCTGTGTATACTTGGCATTATTGATTGTCAGCTACAATTAATTAAAAAACTGCTTTTCTCCTCAGCCTTTTTGATGCTGTATATTCGTTGATCAAAAACAAAATCCACAGATTGCCAGTTATAGATCCAGTCAGTGGAAATGCACTTTATATACTTACCCATAAAAGAATCCTCAAGTTCCTCCAGCTTTTTGTAAGTATTTAAAGTCATGCTGTGCTTAACTGATTTTTTTCCCCCAGTAGACTTCTAATGTCATTAAGTAATTTAAGTCTTAGTGCAGAAATTTCATTATAAACTTCCATGTTCATTGTGTCTGTGCATATCTTTTCTTGATATGAAGAGAAATTTAAAGCTTGATGTAGGAGCTGTATGTTTCCTTTATTTAGTCCTTTAAAGAGACCCGAACATCAAGGACTTGTCTCTTGGAGTAATTTGTTGTCCTTTCTAGAACATCTCCTCAGCTTCAGAAGCTTGTTTACATGGAAAGACAAATGAATTGTCTCCCAGAGATGCAATTGTCATTACTCTCTGTAGTAATTTAGTCACAGGAATGAACAGGAGGCCAAACAAAGCAGCAGAATAAACATTAATGTTCTCCTGTCTTCAGTTTAGTGGGAATGACAGCTTAGATTCTAAAGCTTATAGTGATGGGTTACTAAAAAAAAAAAAAAAAAAAAAAAAGCAAAAACCTTAGTTACGTAGTCTTAATTTATGGCTGCTTTGAACAGGAGTGATGCTGCTAGGTCAGAGCTTGTTTGGGCTTTACATGAATGTGGTAGCAGGTTACTGCAGTGCTCTATAACCAGCATTTGGAGTCTGCAGATGGAGGAGTGACAACTGCACTGTGAATACATTCCTTCTGATCTTCCTAGATGTCAGAGATGCCAAAGCCTGCCTTTATGAAGAAGAATCTGGATGAACTTGGAATAGGAACTTATCACAACATTGCCTTCATACATCCAGACACTCCTATCATTAAAGCCTTGAATATATTTGTAGAGAGAAGGATATCGGCATTACCTGTTGTGGATGAGTCAGGTGTGTGGTGGCTCTTCTGCCTACAAAAGTGTGGTGAGATAAATGATGCTGAACCCTGGATTGATGTTGAGGTGGGGGGAGAAGACAATAAAAAACATAAAAAAGGGAAGGGAAAAAAAGAGAGTATAAAGAAGTACTTCTGCGAGATGTAGGTTGATAGGTGTAGAACTTTGTTGGTTATGTGGTTTGGGTTTTTCTTCAGTCTTTCCTTCTTGACCTGTCTTCTCTTTCCGTGTAATTGTAAGATAACAAAAGCAGGAAGCAAGAAAACTGACTTTATATTTTAAGCACTTTATTAACTTTTGGTTTTTCTTTTTTCTTTTCCTTTTTAGGAAAAGTTGTAGATATTTATTCCAAATTTGATGTAATAGTAAGTATATATCTTAAATTCTGTATTTTATATGCAGTTACCATTTGCAAATTAATTTGTTAATATGACAATTTTGGTTGTTTTGTTCCTTAGGCTTTAGTTAACAAGCTGAATGGAAGAGATTCAATTCACCCTTCGCAGCATTTTTTTTATTGCTACTTTTTATTTAAGTCATCCTTAGTAATACTATTTGCACACAGGCATCTACTGCTCTGCATGTCACCCAAAATTAGATTTGGATGTACCTTTACAAAAAGAGGGCACAATCCAGAGGAGGGAGTCAAAGCTGGTGAAAGGGCTGGAAGGAATGTCCTCTGAGGAATAGCTAAGTACTCTGTGTCTGTCTGGTATGGATAAAAGGAGACCGAGGGTTGACCTCATTGATCTCTGCAGCTTCCTGAGGAGAGGAAGTGGAGAGGGAGGTGCTGATCTCTTTTCCCTGGTAGGAAATGTGGGACTGACATTTCCCAGACAGGACATGTGGGAATGATTCAAAGCTGCATCTGGAGGGGTTTAGACTGGACATCAGGAAACATTTCTTTACCGAGAGGGTGGTCAGACACTAGAACAGGCTTCCTCGAGAGGTGATCCATGCCCCAAGCCTGTCAGTGTGTAAGAGGCATTTGAACAATGCCTGTAATAATATGCTTGCTCTGGATCCTCCCTGAAGTGCTCAGGAAGTAGGACTGGATGATCATCATAAGTCCCTTACAACTGAACTGTTCTGTTCTTTTTATGTTTGTTTCTATTTTTGAGCTAGGATTTTCTTTTTCCAGCTGCTGCCATTCCACAGCCTGTTTTCAAAGAGAATGCAGATTTCTCCACACAGTCCGAGTGCTTTGCATGACTTGACCTTCTCAGTGATCTAAAAACTACTTGGCCCATTCTTTTGTGTGAGTCTCTGACTCACATCTGTATTCCTTCTGGTTCAGATCTAATCCAGGACACTGTTTCTGGTTTTCCCTCAGGAGTGCAGTAGCATAGTCAGATTCATGCCATTATTTGCCAACCTCGGAGAGCAAGGGCTCTTCTATTCCCATGGATTTCAGAAACTTGAAAGCATATATTTGTTTTCTCTTATCCCTGTCCCCTCCCAGCTGCATGCACCTGCCTTAGAATTAGAGCATCTGATAGCTGTGTTATTTTCTAGAGATGTCAGTGCTCAGATTGTTTATTCTGCCAACCAGCTGTGCTAATGAAGAATCCAGATGTCTGAAATGCTGCATAGAATTGCCTCAGTAATACGGGGAATATAATACCAAATGGAAATACTTTAAGCTTATGAGTATCTCTTGCTGCAAACAGTGCTCTTAATACCAAAAATTTTGTGATGTCACTGCTCTTGCTTGTCATTTCTAGGCATTTATCTTTGTTCTTTGGGATTCTCTGCTGTATAAGATCCTGTTCTACTATAAGAGCTGGTCAGGGAATAGGCAGTAGCTGTAGCAAGAGTGATCTGACATGTCAAAGCAAATGAAATTTCACAGTTGATGGGTTCAGTGCTTCAATTTATTTCATGACTGTACTAGACTTTGAGGTAGGACATGTTTCCTTTATTTCCCATTCTTTTTCAGAAAGACACCAGAAGAAAGAGGGTTCCTTATGTTTTTCATGTCTTTTCTCATTTTCAGTGATGAGGCGAAAAATAAAAGGATTTTTAGAGATATTGGACCATTTATTTGGAAAAGATATGTATTGGAATCAGGAAAAAACACCCACACCACAGAGGCTTTAGGATATAATTGTTTTCTGCCAGCTAGTAACATGGAAAAGAATTAGGGGATCTATTGATTATTTCGGATTTTCCTCATGTACACTAGTTTTCTTACTGAAACAGGGAGGAAAAAGATTCTGTTCTTAAAAGACAGTCACCTCTGTGGCTTCCAGGTTTTCATCAATCTGCTTCAGCCTGATCTTCAGCTTTTAAAGAAGAAAACAAAAATGTAATCTGAAGTTTATAATCTGATCATACAATAAACATGGAATTTGCAAGATTCAACTGGTGATCTTTGACTTCTGACCATGTGGCTAATATGCTTATTTAAATCAGTGGTTTAAGCTATGCCTGTATGGCTAAGTTGATAGATTTCTTTCATTTTAATAGAGTTCTGAATTCGTTTTCAGGTTCTTGATTTGAGAAACCTGGGAATGAAGCATAGAAATGGCTTTATATTGAACTCATTATTGTCTGTGGGGGTGACTTCAGGTTGCAGAGACCTTTTATGTCCTCCCAATGTCCTTTATTAGAAATTAGTAAAAACTGCTTTTATCTTCATGATCATCTCCGTCCTGTCTTTTCACACGCAGTGTAATTCAATCAAAAAACTTGACCTATCACAGTATATCCTAGCCAAAAACTAATTTAATTTTATTGCTTGGTCCAGTGCTTTCATTTTAAAGGTCTGACTTTGTTCTTCCTTCAGTGCCTCCAGTATGCAAAATCAGTAGGCCAAGGTGTGCCAGTGCTACCAAAATAGCAGTCTGGTCTCACCTACACAGAAAGCTTTTGCAGGTCTGGACAGAGTCCTCCTACTGCAGGCATGGTCCTGTTCTAAAAATGAAGTTGAGAATGTCAGCTTTGCAATTCTTTTAATCTCTTTGCTTTTAGTGCTGGTGATGGGTTTTCATTTATATTATTCTTATAGTACTTATTAAAATACACCCAAATTGTCATGGAATGACAGTGCCAGCTGAGTCCAGGAGAGGGAGTTTGAGCCCACAAATCAGTGAGGTGAAGAAAACCTTTAATTTGCTCTCGACTTAGATCTGTCACTAATATCTACTGCACGGGTGGTGGTCAGAGCAGTTGGTGTCCTGCCTATCCTATGAAAAACAAACAAAGCAAAAATGGTTTATTCAGTATAGTCTAAAATCTGAAGAATTTTGCCTTTACATTTTCTATGCATGGCAAAATCAGGATGAGTGACACCAAGCCAAAGATCAGATAGCAGAGTAAGAAGGCTTTCATTGGCCTAATGGGTATCACCAGTTTTATCAATTAACCTAATCTGTCATATGGTGTTTAGCAGAATTGAGTGTTTGACTGTTCCCAGAAACTGAAGCTGAAGAGCATCTGCTTTGTTTAATATGTGACTTGGAATAGACTCAATTTAGACCACAAATGTGTATCTACTTGATGCCAAAATATTTACTTTATTGAGTATGTTATTACAAAGTACTGAGATGTCTGATGTGCCTTGGATTTGTATTTTTTTTTCCAGAATCTTGCTGCTGAAAAAACATATAATAACCTAGATATCACGGTGACACAAGCCCTGCAGCACCGCTCTCAATATTTTGAAGGTGTTGTAAAGTGTAGTATGCTGGAAACACTGGAGACCATTGTGGATAGAATAGTGAAAGCTGAGGTGAGTCTCTTCACTAGAAGTTAAAAGTTGTATTACCAAACCATTAAATCATAAAAATGTAGCCTTTCTGAGTTGTCTGGGTAATTTGGTGAAAGTAGTTTTTAACAGCTACGTGTGTTAGGTGTCAGTTTGCTCTACAGACTTAGATGATAGATACTGATAGGGATGTGCATAAAATTTGACATATGTCTGTAATAATATTCAGTTACCTGCATTTCTGGTTTATGACATTAATTGAACTGAATGCAAAACTTTTTTGAAAGAAACAACTTTCTTCCAAGCTTGCTGTTAGTTTTGCAGCAAATAATTCTTAAAACCCAAATATGTAGCTCTGTTCAGGAAATTTATTGGGTGCAATTAGTTCATGCATACAGAATCCTGCACTGCTCTTGTATAACAGGGCTGGAAAATAAATACTCGTATAGAAGCCTTCACTAACTGCTCTTGTAAACTACTTATCTGTGTGCTATCCATTCTTTTGGTGCTCTTTATCTTGTTTGTTATCTTGTTTTCATACATGGAAGTGAATGAGTATGTAGGTCTTCCCCCCCTGTTATGTTTCTCTGCAGAAGAAAATCAGTGTTGCTAGTTTCAGTTGTCTCTCAGGTGTGATCAGCTCCATCTGGATGCTTTAACTTCAATTACAAGATTTATTTATTTTTGCGTATTCAGGGCTGTAACTAGACATTATAATTGATAGAGTAAAAGCTTCTACTTTAACAACCCCTTAGAGCCTCCATTAGGCAATTTTTACTTGTAACTTTCTGTATTTGCTTGAGATTCCTCCTATAATTGACTAATTTTAGCATTGCTGATATACAGATTTCAAATTTGGGTTATTTTGTTACTGCCTTAAGAAGCTTTAGACATTTGGGTTTTAATAACAACTCCTGTCCTTTTGTTCGGTCTAAACACAGTAAGATAATATGTAAAAATATAGTCAAAACTACAAGCTATTTTTAGCTGCCAGACAAGTGCTTGATCTTACTAGAAATTAAACAAATGAAACAATTACATTGTTCATTTGTCTTGAATTCATTACACCGAAAGAGGAATAAAAATGTTAAATATGTGCTTTTACAAAAAGTAATAAACTTATCTAACATATCACCAACATTGTTTCATCAAAAAGCAAACAGTATTTTCTCCAACTTAATGGTGAAGAGAGAGAATTCACTTGGGTAAAGGTAAACGTAGTAGGCTCTCAACTTTGGACAAACACTTTTATTTTAAGGATCTTTTACTTACAAGTTGGTTCAGCTGTGATGTTTAGGTTATATGACCCTGTGCCACTTGCTGTAGGCTCTGGTGCCAGGACTGACCTTGGGGCACTCTCCTGGTTCTGCAGTGCCCTTTTGCTGCTGTGGTCTGCTCTGGCTGATAAGCCTCAGGGTATAGGAGTATGCACGTACTTTGCCTGCAGTTAGGACAAAAGTTTTGTAGTATAAAATGTTCCATAAAGGAGGTTTGTAAGGATAAGATTGTTACTTGAAAGTAGAGCTTTACTGTTGATAAGTCTTTCTTCCAAGTTGTGTCCTTGTGTTTATTAACTCTACAGTGAGTTTGCACAGATAAGTTGAATCTTTTTTCCTGTCTTAAGCAATCTGTTGAAAACAAATTGTTTTAAAACCAATCTGGCACTCCGTTTCCATTGTGTAGCCCTGTGAGAAAAATTAAGTTAAAACCAACTTGGACATGTCAAGGTACAACAGATTTTAGTGCTGTGCCTTGCTCTGATGAGAAAGTATTTTTCAGAAGGAAACCTCATTTTATCTCAGTGTATCTTATTTTTTGAGATCACAAGCTGAGTTGGGCCAAGGGTGTAATTTAGGGAGAAGTGTTTGATGTGAGTGCCACTTTTTGAGCGAAGAAGTGTTTTAAAGACCCTGATCTTGACTGACCTGTCACTTGGAATCTGATTTTGTTGCCATGTCAGCTAGCTCTGTGCTTTTTAAATGTGCACTAGTTTTCCTTTATCTAGGGCAAGCATGTTTGTATTGCCATGAGAGAATTGGTATTGCTAACATTTTGAACCATTCTGGGTTGGTTTTATTTTTCTGTATTACTGTATTACTTGAAATGATTTTGTTTGGTTTTCTTTGCTTTTCTCTTACTTTAAATCAGGTAAATATATCCCAAAATCTTTTCCCAGGTTCATCGTTTGGTGGTAGTGAATGAAGCCGATAGCATTGTGGGTATCATCTCCCTTTCTGACATTCTACAAGCTTTGGTACTCACACCTGCAGGTATGGATCTGCCCTCTGACCCCTGCCATAAGGCATTGCTAGTGTGTACATCCCGTTGGGTTTATTTATTTGACAAAGACAAACATTTGATTTTTCACTTTTGTAACTGTTGCATCATAGTTCTTGAATACATTAATCATTTCTTTTCAGGGAAAAACTGTCAAAATATTAACTGTCAGTCTCCTGGTCACTGAGGAAGGCATGCAGAAGCTTGATAAAATAAAAGGTCACAATTTTTTAATGGGATGAAGTTGAATATGTGTTAGGAAGAAATTCTTGATTGTGTGAGGGTGGTGAGGCACTGCCACAGGTTGTCCAAAGAAGCTGTGGATGTGCCATCCTTGGAGGTGTTCAAAGCCAGGTTGGATGGACCTCTGAGCAAACTTTTCTAGTGGAAGGTATCCCTGTCCACAGCAGGGGGCTTGGAACTGGGTGATCTTTAAGGTCCCTTCCAACCCAGGGCATTCTATGATTCCATGATACAGGCAATATCTACAACAGTGTGCCTTCCCCACCTTCCTGAGCTTCTGTACCCTGGCCAAGTGCTCCTTGTGTGGATGCAGCTGTGCTTTCCATGAGCTCTGCAAAACTACCTCCTCAGGGCCCTTCAGTTGTTTGGCTGTACTGGGGCTTTTGGTTGGCACAACTTATGTCAGAGATACAGGTTTATTTCTGCTACTTTTATCTTGGTTATGGGGGGCTGGTTTGATTGGGTTTTGTTTGGTTTATGTTTTGCCTTAATTCCTAACCTGCTTCAGATTCTTAACTGTAACTTCGCTTTGACCGTACAAATGACTTCAGTGTCACAAGATCTAAAGCAAAGCCCTCTTTTGGCTTTGTAAGGAAGAAAAAGATGTCTTGAGGATTACTATTTTGCCTCAAAAAAAAAAAAAAATCAGGCTAAACAAATGGAGCTGGATATGTCCTTCAAATAAGAAAGCCTAAATGTAACCTTAACTGGGATCTCTCACCTGCCCCTGATAGATAACATAATAATGTATTTTTCCTCTGTAGATTTAAAAAGAAGTTAATGTACCTTGTTTAAATAGTATCATTTCTTCTCTGAGAAGAAGTAATCAGTGATGCTGCTGGATATATTGTGTCAGTGCATCAGCTTTCTTTTAATGACCTGGAAGAGCAAGTAACTCAGCTCTCCGTGAAAGGTATGGATGAGGATGAGAACTCAGCCCAAAGGCCTGGGTCAAATGGAATCATGGCCCAGAGAGAGAATGGAGGAGTGTCTGTCCCTCCAAGAGGGAGATTTAAAGACAGGCAGCCAGTGCCTCTCCATCCAGAGGAAGGAATTTCCTCCATGACTGGAGGGTAGAAGGATCTAAGAGTATAACTTATGGAGCAAAGTTTAGACAGAAAAGATGCATCTGGATAGTGACAAACCAAGAGCTTTGTTATGCTAAAATTACATGGATACCTAAATTGCAACTCTGAACTGATAAAGTGCTCTGTAATTAACAGAAAAGGGCAGTTCCTGCTCCCACACTTTGGGCCCTGTGCTGCTGGCGTTCAGCATGTAGCAGCACCGTGTTCTGTGAGCTGCTGTAACTCATTGATCTAACAGGAAACTGAGCCAGCAAAAAAGCTGCAGTTTTTTCAGCTTGGCACACTGAACTGGCTCACAGAACAGTCTAGTACTGAGGACACGGGTTAGAGCAACAGAGAGGGCAGGATTACGCCACTGGAAGAGATGAGGTGAGCGAAGGGGTTTGTTGGGAGCAGTTAGGAACTAGACTGGATTTCCACAGGCAACTGCCCAATTTTTGTCTCATGAAGGGAGGATGTCTGCAATGTAAATCTAGTTGGAGAGTTTGGGGTGTGATTTGGCTCTTAAAGTAAGAACACCAGATAAATCATGCCCTAAAAGTGTCCATTTCTCTTCACAGACTAGAAGGGAAAATTTATTGACTGGCAGGAGTTAAGGCCAGCCTATGATAGGGAAAAAAATTACCAGTTGAGATGTGAAAACTGGATGTATTTAATGAATCTTTCCATGTTTGATTATACACTACAAGCAGCAACTCCAGGTTGCTGGCAAGGGATTCTTGCCCTCTAGAGTTGGATGCTGAAGCCAAGCTCACCGTAGGGTTCAGTCGTTGCCCAGCATGTTGGCTGGTTTGAGTACCTGGAGAAGAGAAGGTTGCAGCTGAACAGGTCTCTTGGATCCCTGCTGTAAGCAAAATCTGCCTCCAAGCCAGGAAAAATGGTCCATCAACACACTGTACTTAAACTGAATTGTTATATAGTTTGTGCTCAAGCAGGACGTCGTACTTTTTGAGGCTCTGATGATGATTAAACTTGGTTCTAAGCTGAGGGACAGGTTTGGGCTGTGGCTTTTTGGTTGGGATTTTTGAAATTAATTTTTTTGTGCTGCAGAGAATCTTCAAAGGCACTTGGAATAACTTCCAAGGAGAGTTACTTAGACTTTCCAAGCAGTGATAGTCCCCAGGCCTTCCTCGCTCTGTTTCACGTTGGCATTTAACAGTCCACAGTACATTCTTTATTAAAGCTATTTCCAGTACTAAGGTTCTGGTAGCACGGTGAGAGACAGTTCCAGCATTTGGAATGAGCATTGCTTTTCCAGAAGCCCAGTGCTGTGTGCCTAAGGAAATCACACCTGCTTTCCTTTTCTGTTCACAGGTGCCAAACAAAAGGAGAATGAGAGCGAATGACTGCTGTGAATGTACACATGTTTGTAGGAGAACTTGAACAAAGTTTCTGGGTCAAGTTTGTCTCAAGAGCAGTGACTGCAATAGAACAGAGCAGGATGGTTGAGAATGTGTATTGGGACTTAGTGATGGATGATGAGTCTCTTCCCCCCAGTGATGTCGCAAAAAAAGCAGCATGACAAAAGCTTATGTTAAAATGTAGGCTCGTATTTCAAAATGTCTTCAAAACATTTGCTGGAAGACTTCACATGATGTCCTTCATTAAAATGCACTGTATTCTGAAACTTTTTCATTTTGTATTTGATAGAAGTCACTGGTCAGCAATGGATATATGTGACATAAGGCAAGTGTATGGCATATTCATATCATAGTGCCTTATGTCAAAATACAGCAATATGTCATCACTGTTGCCCATCACTGTCAAAGGAAGTGTTGTGCTAAACGAGACACTGTATTTGAATGTGAAAGTCTTTAAACCTAAAACCAAATCAGTTTCAGTTCTCATTAGATTTGTCATAAAAGCTGTAATTTGGGTATCGGTAGACTTCTTTAAAACTTCAATGACAGTTTTGTGTTCAATGTTGCATTCTGAACTGAAATGTAAAACAAGACTGATTTTAAAAACAGCTTTATTTATTTTTACTTTCATGACAATTTTTTACACATCTTTGGTGGATAGCTAAAATTTCACCATATCCATTAATAAACTGTTGATTGTTATACAAACAAGTGGGAGATTCTCTCATTATTTAAAACTTTGGAGTTGCAGAAGCTGTGGCCTGTTGATCAGTCCGTGTTACTTGAGCTGAAGATTTCAGAAGCATGGATCAGAAGTGCTCTGTACTGTCATGCACAGGCACCACGGAGGAAATGAGGTGCCAGAGGACAATATTTTCATCTGTATCAAAGTGTAAAATGATGTTTGTACAACAGAAACCCCAAACTTTTTATTGTATATGATTTGTACAGAAGTGGAGGAGTGAGGAAAGCTGTGGGGTATTTGCTAATGTAAATGTACTGTAAAGTTTGAAGATGAGACTTTTATAATTGTAGATTCTTGTAGATGGAAGAAATTAAACCCTACAACATCAGTTTGGTTTTAGCAGTTCGTGCCAAGTTCTTTCGCATGTATAAATAACTGTACATGCATTGTGATTAGTGCAAACTAATAGAGCAACTCTAATTTTCCTTCAACTTTTAAGGTGGAATAATGTAGGCAGGACTTCTTACTGTGTTTCCAGCCTGAATACTGCACTGGAATAATGCACTAAATGGATCCATTATTTTTCCATTTATAAACATTGAGGTTTTCAGTTTGCTTCTAAAATGTGCTGGTTTTAATAGCAATGAAAAACTCTTTCTTCATAACTTTTCCCCTTTCTGTAAGAATTTAAATTTTGACCTAAATGTGTGAAAACTTTCTTCTTCCAGGTACCTTTCATGTCTAAAAATATCCCTGTAGTACACAATGGAAACTGTTCTCTTAGGCTTTATCTCACTTTCTTACCCTGTGAAAAACATTCTTGAGTCTTCTCCAGCGCTTTTCTGACTGGGTAAATATTGACTCTGTTCCTTGCAATTCCACATGGTATTGAATTGGAATAGCTGCTTTGGCCTAACAGCAGCAACCTCGGGGTCTGGTGCTGATTTCTGCCATCAGAGATGACATCAGCACAGCTCTGATTATCTTTGTGTGGGAGATGGAGTGATTGAAACTAAAAATAGTGGCTCTCATTCTTCATGGAGTGTGTGGAGGGGATAATTTGTGGGAGATAATTCTCATTAAGGAGAAGTGGGCTGCAGTGTCACCTGCAAATGCCACCCAAGCCACATAGATGCAGCTTTATGAAAAAGCCAGGATCCTGCTCCAGCACAGGCACTGCAGCCTCCTCTGGAAGAGGGGAGGGCAGGGAGTTACCTACATGCATGGTGAGATCTCTCTATCGCTCATTTACATGAGCATATTCTTCAGTCCTATATTCAAGCTATTTTTGAAGATAAGGGTTGAACCACTGACACGTACTTTTTTCTTTTTTTTTTTTTTTTAACATATTTTGTAGCACAAAGTCTTCTGGCTCTGTTCCACGCAGACAGCTTTGGGCTTGTCTGCATATAGCAGCATGCAGAAAGCCAGAATGAATTTGCAGTTTTCAGACAACCATGTACAGACTTACTATTTTAATGTTATTACAAGTACTGATGACATGTTGTGGACATGGGAGTAGCAAAATCATGGACAGCAGCTGCCTCAGTGATACAAAACTGTGCTTAGAGAATTTCCACCCTTACTTTCTGGAATTCAGTTCTGAACTCTGCGTTTGTGAGCAGCAGAATTGCAGGGTGACCCCACGGGCACGAATAAACAGTAATGCCATCCGAAAGGCACTCGGCTCCTACTGGCATAAGTGCCAGTGTGATTGCAGTAAACAAAGCTAAAGTAATGGTGTCATTTTTAATACAGATGAGTTTTGTACAGAGCTAGAAAAATGCCTGTTCCAGCATAAGGGAGGGACAGAGTAAGTAAATGAGGGTGGAGAAAGAAGGGGTGACTCAGCAGCACTGCTGCGTGTTCCAGATTAAAGCCACAGTGCAACAAAAGCTTCAGTCTAGGACTCTTCACGTGGCTCAGGAGAGGCCCCAGCCATGGAAAAGAAAGAATAAAATGTCACTGAACTCCAGTTCTTGTGCGTATTTCCCTCTGGACAGGCAGCAAGTAGTGCCTATAGATCTGAGCCCACAGCAACCGTTCCAGGTGCTCTTTCTTTCTACAGACAGGACCATGCTGCAAACAGAGGTTGACAGTAAACATCCCTGGTGATTCCTGAAAGCCTGATCAATAGGGCAGATGAAGAAATGAATGCTATTTTAATCAGTAGGACTGTAAAATGTGATTAATTTCTGTGTTTCCCTTGTGCGTTTCCTTGCCCAGCAAGAGATGTCTGTGAAAGGGCTCCTTGGTCTCAGAAGGGCTTTTACCTACTCTGAATATTTTTAGCTATTTGGGTGTAAGAAAATGCTTCTTAGTATATTGAATTCAGCCATAAATATTTTTCAGTATCTAGAGATGCTCTGCACTGAGGAAAAATCACCCTTTGCTGGCATTGAGCACCTGCCTGCTGAAAACATTTTCCTGTTTTACTTCTGGAATCCCTTTAAAGTCTGAGATGTTTAAGCCCCCACAGACAGTATTTGCTGTTTACTACAAACTGAAATCCAATTGTTGTGTATCTGAGGCCTATTCATCTTCTTTTACTAAGGAATACTGTTCTGCTGGGAATGTTGGGGTAACACAGAAAGAACCAGCCTTGCTTTCTGAGGCCTGAGCTCTTGTCCTCACGGCAGAAAGGAGGAATCTGACTGAAGCAGTTCCAAGACTACACATTGGGAACACTCCTTGCCATCTTCTGAGGCAGCGCAGGGTAAGTTGGAATCTTTCAGTTTTGGTCCAGCTAGAAGTGAAACCACGCGTGCCTAATCCTGCCTCACAGCAGGCTCTGTAACTGCTTGCACTGAGCTCTCAAGCCAGTTTTAGAAGTAACCAGTTTACTTCTAAAGTTTCTATGAACTTTCACCCATATTGAACATGTATTAAGGGTAATTTCCAGAGGAAAATGCCATTCTGAACAATGTAATACTAGCCTTGTACCCACAGAATGCATTTATGCAAAAAGAATGTTCTGCAGACACTGCTCTTTGCTCTTCACTCCAGGTCTTCATTTAAATGTGGTTTTGAAAGTCACTTTCTTAGTCCCCATTTGTTTTCTGGTGGTTGCAGTCAGACCTGTTTCCGCTGAAGGGAATGGGAACAAGAGGTGACCTGTACTTGTACATCAAACTCTTCCTTTGGGAAAAAAAAAGTACGGAGCATGTCCCTGCCAGCCACATACCAGGACCTGTATGGCATCAGCCTGTGGTGTCAGTAGCCCCTTCATTCCTTAATTCACTTCTACTAAAATCTTGCTAGTGGTTCTATCTGAATGCTGGAAAATAGGATCACTGTGAGAAGGCAGGACAGAGTAGGAACAAGTGTAAGACTGAACTGAATGTACTTTGTAACCTCTGTGGGCAGCAAGGGCTGTGCTGTGCCTGTGGAAGCATGCCCAGCACAAACACTGGACACACTTCAAAAAAACTCCTGGGAAGGTCCTGGTTTGCTGAAGGACAGAGCAGGTAATTGTACTGATAATTGCTGGTACAGGAATGGAAGGTACAAGTCAGAGCTGTTCTGCATTCAGGAGCTGAGTGCTGTTTGTGGGTTTGCATGTACTGGATGAGTATAAAAATACTTGACAGTTGAGTTAAGTTTATTACCCTGAAGTTCATCACGGTTTTTCCTCCATCACAGAAAAGCAGATATAGGCAGCAGAAGAAAGTCATGCTCTTTTTCCAGCCTCCCTCAACATCCTGTTCCTGCTCTCGCCGCAGGTGCACACCCCACCAGTGCTTGCAGTTCTCCTTTCTGCTGTTTTCTCTTTCAGAACCTTGGCCATACCTGAGGTGTTGCACGCACTGACTGTGTCGTTAGCTCGTTTACAATAACAATATCATTTATCATCTGAACTGATCCAAAGGCTATGTTTGATTTGAAGGAGTATCTGGTAAAGGGAGACAGAAAAGAGGCCTGGAGTACAGCCAGTGCATCGCTGCACAGCGTACGTCACTTGTGCCAAAGTTCTCTGAACTCCTTTGTACTTCACAGCACAAGCTGCAAATGCTGTAGACATGTAGAGGCTGCAGTAGGACCAGGGAATGTACAAGCAAAGCCCTAATTCCTAATTCTACTGATTCTATGGAATGCTGCCCAGGGAAAATACAACCCAAACATCACGCTTGGATTGTTAGGGGGGTAGAGAATTTCAGTGAAGGGACACTTAGTGTGTGAGGCTGTTCAGCCCTAAACATGTAAACAGTAAGTGTTCAAATAATGCATAATACCTGGATTACACAGCCACAGCCACAGGTGTGTTCTCCTTCTGCACCAGAGCACTCCAAGAACTGTTTAAACTTACCCTGGGCAGGAAAAGCAATGACAGCCTTACCACGATCCAGATCCTCTCATCTCTGCTTAAGTTGCTGCTGCTTGAGTAGCTCTCAGTGCTCTCAAAGGCCTTTTGGCAGTGTCACCAGGTTCTAGAGCATGAAGAAACTACACATTCCCTGAAAACTCTGTATTTACCTGTATTTCAAGTGTCTCAGCCAATGTAGAATGAAGCACTTACTTGACCCTGATGGAGTAAGGATTATTAGCCAATTTCTTCCGAATAACCAGCGGAAGAAAAGAAAGTCAAAGGTTTTTCTTCAAATTTAAGACAAACCCATGCCCAGAAAGGATGAGTTCTGTGTTCCTGCTGCAACTCATGGTGATAAGCATGAGGGTATCCTAAGATGAGACAACTCCATTGCAATTTGAGGCAGTAAGTAAAGCCAATAAAAGGGGGAGCAGAAACCCTGTAGTAGTGAACTCGCCCAAACAGGTATAAAGTGAGCAGGTGCAAGTTAATAGAAACAAGATAAATAAACGAGAGTCCAAAAGGTGAGTGGGATAAGAAAGTAAGGAAAAATACCAAATCAAAAGAAGTCAAGGAGGGAGCAAAACCAGAAATTCTCACAAATGAAAAAAATACTGATGCTCATCACTCAGAGCATGTGGAGGGGCATTCTGGAAATGCAGATTAGGTTTCACCAGAGTGAAAAGCACAGTGCCAAAATACAACAGGCAAATAGGAAGAACTGTAAGGAGACGGAATTTCAAAGTGTAACTACCACAAACTTCATCTATGTTTCCAAAACCATGTTATGTCATTGGAAGGTGATCCTTATCTCGGTTTTCTCACTGCTCTGGCTCAGTAAATAGCCCAAATTTTGGACCATGGCATGGTTCCAGAAGGAGAAAGTACAAAGATGATGGTGCAGCTACAGGGCTGCACAAGGGATGGTCCTGCAGGATTACAGCTACTGCAATCCTCATGACCTTTATAAATATTTATGTCCCTTGAAACATGCAAGGCAAAAAGGAATAAGGTGATGTACATCAGGCAGGACTGTTCCTCTGTACCTCTTGGAGAGCTTTGAACAGTATCACTGTGTTCAC